CGACCAACTTTGTCCTTCTCTAGGCCTGATATCCCCCCTCACAGTTCCTAACCCTCTTTCTCTCTTGGACCTTTCCAATCCCTCCCCCTAACCCTCCCTCAATCCTGCCCTACTACCCTCCCCACTACCCTCCCTCCCCTCCCTTCCCGACCACACCCGCTTCCCAATTCCACCGCAGATGGCTGGCCAAGAAGGGACTTCCCACGGGTGGTACAGCAAACGGGATTATTCCCCGGAGATAGAAGATGCGCCCAGGCTCCACTATACGTCGACTCTCGCACAACATGACATGATGACACGATGACATGGGTTTATGGGTGGGTGGGAACAAGGGGTGGTTGAGGCCACCCCATACCAATCGATGGGTTGTTCTTTGGGATACTGGAGGGTGGGAACAAGGGACGTCCATAGAGTTAATGGGCTAATCGGCTTATCGGGTGCTTGGATGGAGGACAGGTGCAAGGGGCTCCATTCACCGTATCCCACTCAATACGCGCCATTATGGGACAAGAGGCACAACTAGAAACAACTTCAACTGCAACTCATGCAGCACAGGGCTACTGTCAACAATGACGTAACAGACCCTGCATAATGCTATAAGTAGATGGACTGTAAGCAATAGGCACTCAGGCCTCATTAGATTGGCTTCGATGACTCAGTTTGGTTTCGATATACTTTTGATCAGCGGGATAGGGTTCTCCCATCATCTGACATATATTGGTTAAACGTGCATACGTAGGCAGGTGGAGTTACCAACACATCTCTGCATAGGGACGCTGGACCCGATTTCCAGCAGATACATTCACAGCATTATACAGGGACGCTGGACCCGTTTTCCAGCAGGTGCAGCTCCCCACCAATAGATGGAGCCTTCAATGCTGGGACCTACTTACCGGGGATGCTCTTGTCACCTCGCTAAGTAGGTTTCCCATATACGAAGTTTCAAAACAAAAACAAAAAAAAAAAAAAAAAAAAAAAAAAGAACCAAAGGGATGGGCTGCAGAACCCTGGAATTGGGAATTGGGATGGGCTAAAGGGAAAAGGGAGATATAGTACAAGAGGGGTTGGATTGCAAATTCCAGGCACCGGGCTAGGCCTGTGGAAAAAAGGAGATCTAGGATAGGAAGGGTAAAATTGCATCCCCAAGAGCCTAAAGGGCGTGATCACGATGCATACACTACGAACCGAGCTGGGCTATGGAAAAAGGGGGCTTCATGATAGGAAGAGTAAAGGCCACAGCCCCGAGAATCAATACAAGCAACCACTTTTGTATTGTAAAGATGTATGCTAGACCCGGTTTCCAGCAGGTGCTGCTCCCCATCAATAGATGGAGCAGCCCGACAGCCGAGTACTCAATCCTGGACGTTCTCTCACCACCTCTGGCAAAAGGGCACTTAAAAATAATAAAACTGAGTAAAAGTAAATAAAAAAGAAGTAGGCCCACGTCGGTTCGTTTGGCGTGTAGGGCGAATTTAGGCTCAGCATCTATAGCTGGGCAGGGTACTGGTGGTTTAAACTGCCCTGCCGAGAGGAACCCCTCTTCTCCTTGTCGGCCCCAGTTCAGGACAAGCCCCCTACATGGTCACGCCCGCCCCCTCAAGAGCATACAGTTCCCACCAAAAGTACACCCCCAGCACAACAGTTCCCCCATTTCCTCTCCTGGTGGTTCTCTTACCACCACCAGGATAGAGGTCTTGCACAAGGGCCTTAAAAAAAAAAAAAAA